GATTTAATTTTTTTATGTACTGGGAACTAGAGGATTTAATTTAATTTTATTTTTATGTATAGGCACTTTTAGAATTTAGGAACACAGCCAGATGCTGCATTAAAATAGTTTCTTAATTCTTATTTGTCCATCAGGCTTCAGCTGAGAAGGCAGCTTTTATAATAAGCAGTGAAGAATGTGATAGCTTCAGTGCATTTAATAGAATTCTTCTTCAGTGTGTCCTTGTGAAATTCTGAAAGAAATATGGAAACAAATCAATAGAGCAGTAAGTGCATTTTGAAAGACTGGAAAACCCCATTGGACTTACTCATGAGAAGAAAAAAACCCTCAAACCTTCTGTGTTTGAGGGCTGTGTGCTTCTAACGTACTGCATGTGTCAGCTGAGTGTTGTTGCCAAAAGTGGAGGAATGTGGTTAGAGCATGATTTAGGGAACAAACTATGATACATATTTTCTTCACTCATCTCTCAACAGCAGTAGTAAAACTGATAAGTTTGTGCTTGTCTCCTGAAGCAAAATTCCATAAGTGCTATTTAATGCTGTTGGGCAGGGACCATGTGAGCAATGCAGTGACCCAGATGCAAAAGGCACCATAATAGTTCCAGTTCATGTTTCTGCTTCAGAACAGCAGCAGAAGGAGAAGTTGAGTGATATTTGGAACAAAAGGGTTGACAGGATTTTTTAGTGCATTTCCCTCCATGGAAGATTTAAATAACTCAGCATCATCTTTTCCAGTTTTTCTTTTGAGCCTCTAACAGTTGTCTCAACAAAGTGTTAATAATGATACAACTTTTGATAGGTTACTTAGAGGTCAGGCAATCAGTGCATGTTTATTTGTTAATGAAATAAATATGTTCAAAGATGGACTCATCATCCCAGAAATTTTTGGTTTTTTACTCTGGATAGAAAGAAGGGAATCCCCAAAGCTTTTCAAAGAATCATAGAACCACTTAGGTTGGAAAAGCCCTCTAAGATCATCAAGATCATCAAGTCCAGTCATTAACCCAGCACTGCCAAGCCCACCACTAAACCCCAAGTGCCACATCTGTATCTTTTAAATACCTTGATCCAGCCTATCCAGATCCATCTGTGGAGCCTTCCTGCCCTCTAGAAGATCAACCCAGCTTGGTGTTGGCTGCAAATTGACTGAGGGTGCACTCAATCTCCTCATGCATATCATTGATAAAGACATTAAACTGAGCTGGCCCCAGTTCTGAGCACTGTGGATGTAACTCCATTCCCCTTGCTCTCTGGGCTGAGCCATCCAGCCTGTTCTTACCCCATGTGTGGTGCACCTGTCCAAGCCATGGCAGCCAGCTTCCAAGAGAGTGCTGTGAGACACAGTGTCAAACTCTACCCAACTTCAGATAGACACATCCACAGCCTTTCCTTCATCCACTGAGTGGGTCATCTTGTCACAGAAGACAGGTTGGTCAAGAGGACCTGTTTTTCCTGAACCCACACTGGCTGAATGTGACCCCCTGCTTGTCCTGGATGTGCCATGTGCTGGCACTAAAATGATCTGTTCCATGGCCTTCCCTAGCACCAAGGTCAGGCTGACAGGCCTGTGGTTGCCCAGACCCCCCTTCCAGCTCTTCTTGTAGCTGGGTGTCACATCTGCTGACCTCCAGTCAGCTGGGACTTCCCCAGGGAGCTGGGACTGTGGTAAATCCTGGGAAGTGGCTCTGTGAGCACCACAGGGCTACCCCAAGGAGCCTCCTCCCTTGCTTGTCCCTTCTGAAGAGTTTTTAGCCATCTGTTGCAGCCCTCCAGTTGTGCCAGTCATCCCACCATGTGTTTCAGGGTCTTCTGAGGAAGCACATCCCTGCTTTACAAGGCTGTAAGTCAACAGCCAGCACCAAGTGCAAAATTCTGGCCTCCCCCAGCCTCGCTCAGACTTGACCTCATTTATCTGAAGGAGCCATTTGAGTGTGACTGTTCATGTATATAGAAAGCAGTTGCTTTAAAGTCTTCCTGCTAAGCTGGCTTTGAGGAAAGGGTTCTTCATGAAATAGTTCCACTCTGTTCCTTAACTGAGAGGGTGTCTAAAACAGATTAAGGTAGGGAGTGCTCTGATCAGATTTCCACAGTAAGGAGTCTTTGCTGGAGGATCTGTAGAAGGGTCTGCAGCTTGTGGCAGAAGATGGCCCTGATTAATGACTAAGGGCATTAAGATACTTTCAGATGGAAAAGGAACACCAGGTGATACTTAATCCTGGTGCACCTGCAGTGCTGTGTCTCTTTGCATTTTTGGCCTTGGTCTTGTCCTCACTTTGGTGGCATTCTATGATTGGTATAAACATCAGTTCCAGGGTAGTATGTTTATTTTCACACTCAATGCAAGTTATCTGAAAAGTTCTTTTAAAGCATTTAATGAAGAATAGTGGCAGAGAGCACTGAAGGATTCATCTTCATGTATTAAAACTGCATGCAGCTTTCCCATTTGTTTTCTGTACCTAAGGGATAAATCTTGATCTTTCTTGGTAAGTGCAAAAGAGGAAGAACAGATTCATAGCTGAATTTGGAACTGCGGATGTTTTTACTTGTCCTTAAAATACATTTATTCAGTAAATTTATCAGCTGGACCAATGCCACATTTTTAAACAAACAGTAGCAATTTTCTGCATTAAGAGGAGCATGGCTGGGTCACTGTGCCCTCCTGCTCCAGCCATAAGCTGTGGGCAATGCTCCTGACCTGGTTAATGGAGCACCTGAAGATTGAGTGGTGGAAAACATTGAGGAGCAGCTGGAGTCTCAGCTCTGGGCTGGCTGCACTGGATGGGAGAGGAGACAATTAGGAAAAGAATGAACGATGTGTCTCAGAAATGGTATGGAAGCCAAGAGATGTCTATCTGTCTGTGGAAACATGCAGCCTTCCTGGAAGTGGGTGGTTAAAATTTCCTTTGCCAAGAAGGACAAAAACGTCACAGTAAAGAATTTTAGAGGTGTTTGACATACACTGTCTATTTCCAGATTTATATTAAATACTTGTTGTCAGATGACCTGCTCTGCCTGTTGATTAAATCTCTCCCTCCAACCTGCTAGAGTGGAAGTCTGGGTGCACACAGAGGAAATGACAGCCTGGGCTGTCTGCTTCCTAATCCCATGTTTGATTTCTGTGTAATGAAAACAAAAGCAGCACCAAGCTTTTAGAATCCCTTTGCTTTATTTGAGCATTGGTTGTGTGTAACATTGCAGCAGGTGGAGGAAGGGGGGATGAAATATCTAATATTCACAGCTTATTTCAACTGGAAAATGAGACTCACTCGTCAAAAAGTAAATGATCCTGACCCATAACACAGTCTTGAAGCCCATTTTTTCTGGTATTATTTCATTGCAGGTTCAGGGTTTGGGGGTTTTTTGCTGGAATCATAGAATCCTTAAGGTTGGAAAAGATCTCTAAGGTCATGAAACCCAGCTTTTGGAGAGAGACCATGATAATCTGAAAGTCACAGTTCCAGCCTTATGTTTCCTTAAACACTCAACCTTTATTTGTTTATCTATTTATTTGCTTTTATTTTAAACATTGCCCAGTTTTAGAAACCTGTAAATTTGGGGGACAGTTCAGATCCAGATTTATCATTCCCCACCAGCTGCTTCTGGAAATATATTCCAAGACATCCCACTTGTTCCAAGTACCTGGATACAAGTTCCTGGCAGAGTCAACAATCCACTGCAGTGTAACCACTAATTTCACTCTTGTTTTGGTTAACTACAAGATCAAAAATTAATTTGCTTATGACAACTTCCCATTCTCATTGTAAATGGTGGAATGAGCGTGTGCACTGACTTTTGCTTGTGAAAGAGGAGCAGATCCATTGCCCAGCTCCATTTTCCTGCTGGGCCCTTGTTAGCAAAGGGCACACAAAGTCTATCTTTTGAATGAGTGGGAAAAGAAAAAAGGAATTTTGGACAGTAGCAGCTGAATTCTTATTTTGTTATGTCTTCTTTAAGGTCTTTATTTCAGAATGGGATAGGCTGGGCTCAAAATTTGGCAAAGAAAGGGGGATTTAAGCAGCTAAAATCTGCCAGGGCTAAAACTAAAATCCCTAAGCATTTTACTTCATTGATGCCTGAAACTGGAGGCACCTTAGTTTCTTGAATGCCTTTTTGATGTACTTGGAAGCTTTTCAGTTGCCTCCAGTTTGGCTCATGTAGCTGTTGTAATCTAAGCAGCCTTGCTCCCAGCTAATCCCCCCTGGGATCGAGAAACCAGGTAATGAAGTGTTTTGGCCAAGGGCCTGATCTGATGATAGATGCTTTCAGAGAGAATCATTTGTACAGCAGGAGGGCTGGGCTCCTTGCAAAAACACATCTGTGGATTCAGAGAGCCACAGGAATGCCAGGCCACCTAGGAAAAAAAAATAGACTTCCATTCCCCAGTTTATCAACAGCCGCATGGTGCTTGTTTCGGTTATTGCCAATGAAAAGAGGGTTGGGTCTCCTTGGTTATGTGTAAGGAAATCCATAGGTGGCTGTTTCTAGAAGGTGACTCGTGTGTATGGAGTTTGCTGAGCTCTGGAGGAGGTCAGGCTTCCAACAGCATGGGTGGAATGATCCCTGGGGGATCCCTCATTCTGCCTGATCCTTCCTTTTGACCCCGAGCTGAAGCACTTTGTGCTGCTGCAGGGCACAGCGCTTTGGTGCTGACCACAGATTTCAGGGTCTTCTGAGGAAGCACATCCCTGCTTTACAAGGCTGCAAATCAACAGCCAGCACCAAGCACAAAACTCTGGCCTGCCCCAGCCTTGCTCAGACTTGACCTCTTATCTGAAGGAGCCATTTGAGGTGTGACTGTTCATGCATATGGAAAGCAGTTGCTTTAAATTGGCTGGGGAGCAGAGGAGCAGAGGTGAAATGTTTCATATGTTTGTAACTGCCTTGTGTTGAAGGGTGGCTGTCTTTTCCATGTGTTCTGTGTTTGTATCCATCACACAGGTATGAGGATGCTTCACTCAGTTCATGTGTGTTGCTAACGTGGTTTTGTTCTACCTCTTGCAGGCAGTCACTTCTTCCATCGTAACTCTCTGTCCCCTCGAAGCCTGGTCTACGAGAGCGAGTTCTCAACCATCGAGCCTGCCTTGGACATGTACGACGAGAACAAAACCTGAAAGGAATCCATGCTCCTTCCTGGCCCTTTTTCGGTTTTTTTCATTTCTCATTCCTATTGTTGTGTACTCTTTCCATGGATCTCCTTTGTCTGAAGAAGAGCTGCTTTTTCCAGAACACGAACCCGCCTTCTCGTTTGCACAGACGAAGACCAGCTGTGGTGGATTCTGAGGGTGGCATCTTTGAGGTGGCAAAGAGCTGTGACAAGCAAGGTTGTCTGATGGAAATTGCTGAGTAACAGCATGGGGAGCTGTGTCGGCCCAGCCGCGGCGATGCAGGAGAGGTTTTACGGTGGCCCTAAGAGTTTGTGCTGAACTGCAAATGCGTCTCTTACACAGGCATCTGCTGTTTCCGAGTTTTTAGTTGTCCGGATGGTTAGGCAATGTCAGAAAGGGAACTGGTTGTAGAGGAGATGGCCAGTGACTGGTAAAAGCACTCGTATATCTCGGTCAATCCATAACCTTACTGTGAAATAACCCCTTCTGGGAGGGACCTTTATAAGTGCATTGAGTTTCCTACAACCCACTTAACCCCGGACAGTGGCAAGCCAGTCTGATGTTCAAGCTGCAGAGAGGACCTGCATTTGCAGAAAGATTTCAAGGAACTTGATGCTTGGATTTTTTTCTCCAATTTGATTGAAGCAGGAGAAAAATGGTATACACAGAATATACTTTTGGTCCTTCTGTGTGCTGAAGTCAAGTGAGTTCATTTCTGTAGAGAGGACATTCACAGAACCAGCACTTGATCTACCTAAAAACCATTAGACTTTTTGAAATATGCAGGAATCAAATCAGCTTTCTTTCTCACGTAACTTTTTTTTGGGGGGGTGGGGGGGTAAAAAATCCACCAAATTTTTCACTGAGATTTTTTAAAAGCCAGCATGTTGGCATTACACAGAGAAGAAAAGAGGTAAGCTTCTTATCCCACTCTCCTGTTGAGATCTGCAACAGTTATTTAACAAATACGTTCTCTGAGCTGTGCCCTTTCCCACTGACATCAATAACGGGAATGCAGAAAGCAGGAGAAGAAAGGAAAGCAGCTACTGCTTTGACACGCTGCAGGAAAAATCAATTTTTACCAGCATGTGACAAAAGCGGTGGGGAAATGGATATTGTTTGCAAGCTTCTGAGAGAACAATGCAGAAATGGAGAGCGAGAGAGGAGCCTCTGGAGCCAAGTCATCCACAGTGTTCCTCAAATGAGCCGACATGGAGGAGCGAGCGCTTCTGCTCCACCGTTTGCTACCAGACAATGCATAGCTGTTAATGAATGTTTGGATTTTTCTCCATTGCAGTCTAAGTTACTGTAGGTGTAGAAACTCATTTGTGTCCTTGTAATGTGAAACACAGTTTCACCCTCTGTATAGAAATCTTGAGAAATCAGTTAAGCCAAAAAGAAAGGTAAGACTTATCCTGCCATGCTTTAATTTCACCTGCTTTTGCAAGCAGGGGAATTTCCCCTCCTTTATAATGTTTTTAATTGTATAGCAATCTGCTTAACATATATCCTTTTCTGAAGTGTGATTCAGCTGTGTATTTAACATGGATGTTCAAGAGAAAAAGAAAAACCCAGCTCTGTAAAATGAGGAAATGAGCCTCTTTGCCGAGCATGCTTTGACTTTTGTTGCTGTGCGTCAGCTTTATTTAATCTGATAATTCAAGAGTGGGTGGCGTGAAGTGTAGGGAGGTTTTTCTCATAATACCCACATTGATATTTACCAAATGCACTTTTATTGCCATTCAGCTCGCTCTGGAAATGCACTGAAGCCCCAAACTTTTGTAAGAGCACAATTTTGACACCCACTTTCTCCTCCAAAGCAAAAGTGAAGGTCACAGGAAGTGCCACAGGGGCTGGGGCAGCAGCTGGTGGTGGTCAGCATCCCTCCTCTGGTGCAGGACAGGCAGCGACAGCCCCGGGCACCGCCGGCGAGCCTGGGCACAGCTCCCCATCCCAGCCCTGAGCTGCACCCGGGCCCAGGCACAGCTCCCCTGGCTGAGCTGAGCCTGGGCAGGGCTCGGGGGCAGCACAAGGGCTGGTTCAGCAGCCCCTGTGTTTGTGATTACATCTGGGAGAGCAGCAGCGACACGTGGGAGCGGCGCCTTGGGAACGCAAACGCCCGAGAGGAAAATCACCGTCTCTCAAGGATGTTATGGGGCTTGTTTTTATCCATGAGGGCAGTCAGGTTATGATAATCCCAGATACCTGGGTTACCTGGTTAAATGCCAACATGTCTTAGTGTCTTCCAGCCAGCACAGAGCTGCTCCTGTGGGGTTTTGGGTAGGACAGGCTCTTGTAGCACTGCGTGGGCTGCTGATGCCCCAAGCAAATCCTTCTCACAGGGGCTGCCCCATCCCAGCACAGGGATTTCCCCCGAGGCCACTGGGAATGTCACTGGCGCACAGTTTCAGCACAAAACCAAACCTCATGATTTCTGACCTCCAACTGAGCCAACGAGCTGTGTGCCAGAATATACAGAAAAGCTAGAAGAGGCATGGAAATTAAAAATTATAAAGCACAAACCCCCTAAAGACAAAATAATAACTAATGTAATTTGTATTTTGCTAAATCTTATTTCTAACTGAATATCTTGGCTTTAAGCAGGGGGGGAGCAGTGCCTCAGTGGAGATCAGGGTCTGGCACAGCAATGTAAAAATGGATTTGTGCTGTAGCATCTTGGATAGAGGAGCTGGTATTTGTAATTGACATCCTGGATTTGGGACATCTTGCAACACTGGAAAAATTAAAAGCTTGTTCAAGCAATAAGTCCCTACGTGCATGCCAGGACGTGCTGGAGCAGGCCTTCCCCAGTTAGTCATATTTAAGATGGGGAAGAGGCACCACAGCAACATGGGTGATTTTTTTCTGGGCTGTGCTGGTAAGTTTGAGGTTTTCCTTTTAATATTAATCAGTATATAAAAAAAGCTTGATGAGCATTGTTGTTCTTGTTCTGCTGCAGTGGTGCTGTGTGTGGTTGAGTCATTTCACAGAAGTAAAATATACAGCAACCTACCAAGCACTGTAAGTGCCAGTAACTTGGAAAATCATTTTCAAGGTTAAAAAAAAGTGCTTCTTTTAACAGGAAAACATTCAGTTTATGACTTCTACATAGAAAAAAAAGCTTTTATCTCCAAGTATTTTCCTAAAGTATTTAAACCCCAAAACTTTGTCTTCTCTTTCTCCGCTTCCTCTTCTATGAAAGTTTTGCATGTTCCCATTAGACATTTGTAAAATCAAGGTTTGCTTGTGTTCTTAGAGGATAATTGCCGGTAAGAAACCAGACTGTAAGTGTGCTTTTTACCTATAATACACAACATTAATTATTAAATTTGAAGCATGTTAAAGTTTATCTAATGACCCTCACAATTGCTCTCTCCAGTGAGCTCATGTGTTGGAATCTGCATTGTCCCTTTGCTCTAGGATGCTTGTCCTGGCACCTGAGGATGCTATAGGAATAGCCAGGTATCCTGCATTAGCCAAAGAAAAACCAAAACCAGTTTAATAAACATGTCTAGGACTATGTTATGAGATTTTCACACATCTGTTTTCTTTAAACACATTCTTGTAAAATAGTGCAAAGCCTTGGGAGAGCCAAGAGCTTTTCACCAGCTCCTGGAAAGCAGAGGGAATTCTGCAGGAAACATGGGTCACGCTGAGGCTCCAGGACTTGTTCAGTCCAATTTAGGTTTGAGGCAGTGCCACAGTCAGTTCATGAGCAGAAGGATGAAGGCACCAGGGTTGAACTGAAGTTCAGGCAGCTCTGCAGCCTGATTACTGGCAAGTGAGTTGACTTAATTATTAAAAATATTTGTTATTTTGCTTAGCTAATAGTAATTTGTTTTTTACAGCACGGGAAACAGCAGAGCAGCTCAGAAGCCAAGGCACAGTGGGGCAAAGGCAAGAGCCACAGGGCTGCTGCCAGCCCTGCAGGGTGGGGAGAGAAGGACAGGAGAGCTCAGGAAACACCTTCAAATTCCCAAGTAAAGCTTTTGCTCCTTTTTCACCCTGTGTTACCCAGCCATACTTGACCTAATTTTCCAGCCTGAGCGGTGCAGAAGGGTGTGTGATGTGCCATGACAGCTTGCATATGTGTTGTTATATTTAAAGATATCTTCACTTTTTCCTTTCCCTGCTAGACTCACTGCACCGCAGGGCAGCCTCAGCTCTGGCACACTCGGTGGAAACTGGTGAGCAGGGGAGGGAGTGAGAGAGGGAAAGATGTTCCAGCTAAACAGACTGGGGGGAAATCAGGGGAGAGGTAGACAGCACTTCAGTATGCTGGTGCTCATATCTGCTTTTTTCCCTCGTCTTTGAAATAATTAAGAGAAAAAGCTGTGCTCCCTACACTTTCTTTGTGGGATGCAGTGACAAGAGCAGGACTCCAGGTGGGATTTTTCCATGATGCTCTGTAACCCCCAGCTAATGATGTCCTGAGCTGTTGGCCAAAAACCCCAAATTCACAAGGGCATGTCAAGTTTACCTGGTGCTTGCAAAGTGCATTTTTGGGAAATGAAATCTGGTCACAGAGCCTTTGCAAAGCACCACTAATTGACACCTTGTTATCTATCTTTCATTAACCTAGCCTTTTTTTAAAGCCTGCAACACTCCCAGACACTCTTATTTCTAATCTCACCCTTTCCACTCCATCAGTTACTATTGGCTTCCTCCTCCTCTGGAGAGCTGGGTGAAGGTCCCTGTTGTGCAGGCACTGCTGTCCACTTGTTCTCCAGCATCTTCTTCATCACTGTGCCATAGCCTCACTGTGCCATCACCATGCCAGCCAGCCCCTCCAAGGGGATGCATCACTCCAAACCAGTCACAGTCTGTGGGAGCCCAGAGGTTCCTGGTGGGCTGTGCTCAGCCAAAGCAGGGTGTGTGGGATCTGGGCTGTTGTTGTGGGAGGCTCATTCTCTGGATCACTGAATGGAGCATCCTTTTGCTCTTCTGCCCATTAGCCTCATGAAGATGCTCAGAAATGGATGTTTAGGTTGTGCAATAACATCTGAATATTTTTTCTTTTTTACTGCAATAATGTCCAGGTTCTCTGGGCTTTGGGTCCCTGTGCCCAAAAATAGTCCTTTTCCTAAGGAGTTAATAATAAGTATTCATATTCCTACAAAGTAAGAACTACATAGTGTTTTATTGAAAGTTGAAGCTGCTTAGAGTGATTTCAATGCCAGGCTGAGGTGTAACATTAGCTGGTGTAATACAGCTGGGACTGGGGGTTTGCAGCCCAGAAATCAGATGGACATGTATGTGGAGGCTCCCTCTCTCCTGCTGGGCTATTCCTTTCTCCTCTTGTATCCAGAAGCCCCTCAGGAGCCAGGAGCTTTTATTCTTTTCCCTGAGCTCAGCTGTGTGCATTTATGTGCCATTTGCCTTTTTTTTTGTTGTTGTTGTTTGCTGCTTCTCACATACTCCGGGGCTTGCCTTTGCTTGGCTCTGACTTGATCTTCAGCTGCCCAAACCCCTCGGGGCGACAAGAGCCATTAATTCCCAGCAGAGCAGCTCTGCAGGGCTATGTTAAGGCATAGATCATCAGATTTGCTGTGGATCCCCTGTGCCTGTGTCTGTAACACCCTCACACTGTCTCAGGCAGTAAGAGCTGTAGCTGCCTGCAGCCTTACTGGGCTGGTAACCCAGACTGGGCTGCACAGGGAGGGAGGATCATACAGAAAACAGCTCAGCAACCCTCCCATGCTCCAGCACAGGAAAGTCTGGGCATGAAAGTAAGCTTGTTCTTTGCTGCTATTAAGCCAGGAATAGAGTGGAGCTGTCAAAGCAAAGCTCCTGGTGCAGGTTCATGAGGTCCCAGCACGGCAGCGCCCCAGCCTGTTGCTTTCTGCTTGTGCTGCATGGTGCTACATGAACAAGAGACTTTCCCTGTGCCACCACATCAGCAGGCAGACTTTCCCCACCCTGTATGTCTAGGCTTAGCTCCCAGCACTGGTAAGGTCTGTTGCACTGCTCCTGTAAAGGGGAATAACCTTTTGGAGCAAAAGGAGTGGTAGCATTGCTCTTCTACTTGTCCCATCAGCCCTGCTGCAGTTTGCAAGTCGATGATAAATCCTAAAAGCTTCTCTGGATGACCCATGCCTGTCCAGGATCACCTGCTCAAGGCCATGGCTAACTATGCACTGACTCCACCAAAACAGGATCATTTTATCTCAGCAGAGAGGGGACCCCTCGGCCTTTGGGCACAGGAGACTGTGGTGAACAACAACAAAAAACCCCAATTTGCGTGCGTGTAAAATGAAGAGTCTGTTTGAACTGGCTTGCTGCCAGGTGGGTCACACCGGTGTGACCAGGCAACCTGAACATGCCAGCAGTGCCAGGGGTCTGGGGACACTGTGGGGACGCAGGGACACACAGTGCCCTCCCGGCAGCCACAGCTCTCCAGCCCCTGTGGAGGTGTAGCTTGCCAGCAGCAGAACTTGTTGACATGTTTTGATGTAAGTATAACACTGTATTGTAGTTACGTGGTATATGCCAGTATGTTCATAGTGTATACCAACTAGTTAGGGTTTGCTAATGTACTACATTTCAATAAAAAGCAGTTTAAAAATACAGAGTTTGTGAGTTTGGTGTCTGAAAATATGGGAGAATTAAAGCACCACCCAGTGACTCCAGTCCCTCCAGCATTTCTTATAAATCTGTCTTAGGGGGTAGTGTGGAATAACATTGTCAATAGATCCATTTTCAGAGAGGATTTTTCCCACTCTGGTGTAAATTTTGGTTTTTATTTTGCTATATGTATTTTGCTATATGCTATATGTACTACTGCCTAGAAATCCAAGGCCATTGAGGGCCACATGGTTCAAAGTGGCTTATGAATCTGCTGGAGACACAAATGCATCTTCTCACAGTTTTTCTGACCTTTAAGATGGGACAGAGTGAGCAAGAACAGTAATAGTTAAATAGGGAAGGATCTTTTCAGCATCTTCTCCCAGTGCTCAAACCCTTCCCACAGGACACCCAGCCTTCAGAAACCTCCCTGCTGCTCCCCAGAAATAGCCATGCCATTGAGGTGAAGGCACAGCCCTGCAGGCTGAGCCAGCTAATAAATATTTATATTAGTGTGGAAGGGCTCCAGCTGGGATTAGGGCACTGCACTAACGAAGATAGATCATCCAGGGTTAAAGGATTTAAAGCCTAAAAAAACCATGGCATTCCTGCCTTCCTGGGAGCTGGGCAATAAGCACAGAGGTGGCAGATGTCAGTGTTTTCTGCTGTGGTAACACTCTCAGAGTTTGCCTGGAGGCTCTCTAATGGTTATTGAAACAAGAATAGTGGTTCACTAAATTACTGGGAAGGGGCTCTGCAGCCAAGGGATGAGAGGGAGCTGCATCTCCCCCTGTCCTGTGTCCTGTGAAGATCATCCTTGGGCTGGGCCACAAGCTTTGAGTGGGCTCCAGAGCTGCAAAGCGAGGACAGAAATGAACCAGCTGCCAGGAGGGGGATGCCGGGACCCCACACTGAATTCACGAGGCTGGGATGCTGGAAGGGCATGTTCTTTACAGCAAAAAGGGCAAAGTAATTCCTATCTTAATGTGGGAGATGGAAGCATCGCCAGACTGGGCAGGAGTGCTGGACGGTCTCTGCTGTTTCAGTGCCCGACCACCACCTGGGGTGGATATTTTTCCAATATCCAACCTAAACACCTCCCTCCCCCTTTCCGACACAACTTCAGGCCGTTCAGTTCAGGTCTCTTCAATGCCACAATGTACCACCAGAGGCAGAGGAGCTTTGCAGAGTGCGGCGGCGACCCTCGGCTGCCACCACGGACCGTCCCAGGAGGCGGCTCCGGGCGCCGTCCTGACTCGGGGATCGAACCCGCGGCCTCGGCGCTGCGGAGGCAGTGAGGGGGCCGGGCCGCCAGAGGGCGCGGTGGCGGCGCGCGCGGCGTGGGCCCCGTGACCCGGCCCGGCCGCTCCCCCCGCGCCGCTCCCGCCCCGGCCGGGCCGGCCCAGCCCCGCGGGCCGCTCCGCTCCGCAGCCCCGCCGCGATGTGGCTGGGCCCCGAGGAGGTGCTGCTGGCCGGCGCGCTGTGGGTCACCGAGCGCGCCAACCCCTTCTTCCTGCTCCAGCGCCGGCGGGGACACGGCAAAGGGGGCGGCCTCACGGGTGAGACGCGGCGGGGCCGCGGGGAGGCTCCGGCCCGGAGCGGGGTCCGTGAGCGCGGGGCGGGCGCTGGGAGGCCCCGGCGGGGGGAGAGAGGCGCGGTCCGCCCGTGTCCTCGCTGTGTGTGACCCCGGAGCCCCTCGGGCGTCGTGCCCTCCCGAGGCCCCTGTCCGCCCCCGGCCGGGGCTGTCAGCGGTCAGGCCCGGGGAGCTGCTGTCGGGGAGGACACACAGCTGATGGGATGCCTGGGACCGGCTTCTTCTCTTGTCAAAAATGGCTTCTCAGCCCTGCTCGCGTTGGTTTGAATTATTAAGGTGGTTTATTTGCATATTTTGTATGTCTGTGTGCTTTTCAAGATGTAGGGGATGACAGTAAGACATGGTTTATAATTAGTAGCAGTGTGGAAGTTGTGCTGTACATGGGCCGGGGGTGAAGCTGTGTGGGTGCAGCCCAGTGGAAAATACCGCTGTGTGTGGGGGCCAGCCTTGTTTGTGACATAAACTGCTAAAATAACACGACTGTCACCAAAGCACGATGTTAACAACAACAGCAAATGCCTTCACTTTTAAAAACCCCATTAATGTGCAGAATGCTTTCAATTATGTCCATTTCAAAGATGTCGATTTCACTTTTGTCAATTACACATAGCAACTGTCGCGTTGGTGCCCTTTTAGACAAACTGGTGCAGCTGATAAACATTATTAGCATATTTCATCTTTTCACAGTGTTCAGAATTATTTTGAACTGTTCTGTTTGATGTCACCTAACTCGTGCAGTTTTGCGTATAGGCTTATACTTGTATTCTGCAATTTTCTAGTTTTTTCCAAAAAGAAACAACGCCTGGTGCTATTTTGGTAACATTTAAACGGATGTGTTCCTGATGGGTTGAAGCTCTGAGCTATGTTTACTTTTTGAGCTAGTGTGGCTCAGTGAGAGTCTTCTTCAGAGCTGCTGCAGGTTAGAAAACCACGTGTCCTTAAGGAGCTGTGCAGCTGCACAGTGACATCCCAGAGTCAGAGTGGGATGTTCAGCTGAGCTGGAAAGGCTTTTGAGTTGCTGTCAGGCTCAAGTTATTAAACATCTCATTACTGGTCTGTGTGTCAATATTTGACACATTCGGTATTGTCACAGGATGGATTCCAAATTAACTTTTAATCCATATCCTGCCTAAAACTACACAAGAAACCCAGAGCCCAAACAGATCCTGCTGTGCTGGTTCCATTCATGCTTGGTTTAGGTTTGTCACATGGGCTTGCTGTGGGTGATGTTTCACTGCAAGGACAATTGGTGGTATGTTCTTAATTTGTTAATTGCTACATAGATAGCCAGGAGAGATAAGGGAGAGGAAGTGGCATGTTTCTTAATAAGGAATGAGATATGGATGAGTACAATTCAAACAGGCTTACCCGAACCATGAGAGCTGGGAATTGTAATGACCCCCCACAAAGTCAGAGCCCAAGGAACAACCATGCTCCCTCTCCACGGTCTAATAATAGAAAACTTTTAATCATGAGTGTGTTGCAAAGTTAATTTGCATTAAAGATGCTCATAATGCATTGTCTAGAACAACAAAGCAAATCATCACCTTAGATATCTGTTTTATCTAATTGAAATAAAGACTTCATTGAAGTAAATTGATTTGCTTTACAAAGTCTGGTTCATCAACATTTACTCTGGAAGTGTCTCCTTTCTTATTTGACATCATATAAAAATATTTTGACTTCTGTATTACCAAATTTTGAGTTGCTGACATCTTTGTTTAATCAAAGTACTTCTGGGAACATCCTTGAAACATCCTGTGAGCACCAGTTTTTCTAGAACTACCTGATTCCATTTGGACAAGTTACCTACTTTTGGCATTGGTGATTCTGAAAAAGACAGCATTGAAGACTCTTGTGTCTTTTAGCTTGGTAGGCATAGAAATTACTATTAGAAGAAAAACTCCACAGAGAAAAACACATTTCACTTTCATTAGAAAACTCTTCTATGAAGGTGGGGGTCTGTAATGAAGCTTGGTAAGCATTTTAATTGCTATCTAAACTTTGTCCATTACCAGTGGGACAGGCTACAGTTGGTTTTTAGGGAATTTACCCAGTGACTGGAGGTAATTTCTGAATTTTCTGAACTGAGTGCCACAGCTCTTCATCACAACTGTTCACAGGCTGTGAGCATCAGCATTTTCTGCAGTGATCATCCTGTGTTTTTGCTTAACCCAGTTGTTTGTTTTGGTATGACACTGCTGTAGTTTCTGTCTCTTTGTTCCCTAGGTCTCCTTGTGGGAACTCTAGACGTGGTTTTGGATTCCAGTGCCAGAGTTGCCCCGTACCGGATTCTGCACCAGACTCAGGACTCTCAAGTGTACTGGGCAGTGGCCTGTGGTATGTGACTTTTGTTGGGGACTGGATTTGATTTATTTTCATGTCTTTTTGGTTCAGATGACAGGTTATCCCACATAGGAGTATCCTATGACTGCTTAGGACACTTCCAAAAATTTCCGATGGTGTAGTGGAAGATTCCAGAAATGACAAAACTCAGTGTTGTTTAAACTGTAGTTAGGGAACTTTAAGTTCTGCAAAAACTTCTGTTTCTGCAGATGTTAGGAATCTTCTTTCTTCCAAGATGTACCTTGTATTTGCAAGGCTCTAGTGAGATTGTGCAGAGAATAACACATGCTGGTTTTGTTGGGATGATGGGTGTTGTGCTGCTGCTTGCCAGGAGCATGGCACAAGATGGGAACATGTAACATTGTTCAAGGTACCAGAGGTACTTTGGGGAATTTCTTGGTCCAGTTTATGTTTTTTTCTATTATTTCTGGCCTGGAATAGATGTGTATATAGATCTGTAAGAAGGACTAGAATAGTATTTTTTTAACATAAGGATCCTTGGCCTCTTTTACTTGAGAAATGTAGCTACTCTTTTAGAATATCATAATGCAACCATCTGATGCCTGTTGGGGAACTTTGATTAAAGCTTTAGGTCCTAATACTTGCTAAAGAGGAAATATCTCCAGACATATTTGTTAGACCAACTTTGTTTACAATAAGAACCTTCACTTCTCACTTTGTGGTAGAGGCATAAAATCTGATCATTAAGGAATCATTTGCTAGGCCCACAAAGGCTGATGTCTTGTTTTTCCTCTTCCCACCTCCTCCCCAGGCAACCAACACAATATTCTCCCTTGCAGAGCTACTTAAATTCTGCAAAGGAGAGGTTTAGATGTTGCTGTGTTTCACAGAAACTCAGGTTCCCCTTTGAGGAGGGTGGAGACAGAGAATTAAGAAAAGCAGAAAACAAAATGGCAGGTCAGGAACTGAATAGAAGAAAGGAGAATATTTAGTGCAGATCTGTAATTTTATGGTATCTTGATACTCAGTAAGTTATTTTTATTCAATTTCAGGAGTACTTTAGTTGATATCCTCTGTATCTCAGTTACTTTTAAACAGTGAA